ATTTTCTGCACCCACACTATATATATATATATATATATATATACATATATATATATATATATATATATATAAATCATTACTCCTGTTGATGTATACAAGACATTTTTATAAGGCAGTGGTTTGAGTCATGGGTGGGGGGGTTGGAAAATCCTTTTGTTTAATATCCTACATCACTCCTTTGACCACTAATCTGATCTGACTCTAGTGATAGAGGCAATATTATGGAAATGTACTCAGAAGCGAGTATGAATTACTAACATATTGCATTTATTTATCCTCATATCCAAACTGAGGTGATTGAGATCATGAAAGATGGGCAAGAAAGCATTAGATGTGTATGAAAGCATTGGATGTGCATGAAAGCATTAGTAGTCTCATCTGATATGAGCAAATGAAAACACAGCTGTTTGAGGGGTGTCTCCCTCCATACATACAAACCTTTTATCTTTGAGGTTCATTTCGAAAGGCATAATATTTTCATCCCCATTTGAGTTCAGCTTCTTGACAGCAGGCATCTCTCCGTTGAATTCCAACACTGTGTCAAACATACACACATGATTAAACATTCAGCACAATTGCTTTACATACATTTGTGTTCAGACTTATTAGCCCCCCTGATAAATAGGAGCAAAGGCGGCTGTGAAAATAAATCCGCATTGTTTATCCTTCCGATCATTCATTCAACAAATTCACAAAAATCTAAGCTTCTCAAAATAGAAAGTGGCTGTAAGAAAATAGCTAAAGCATTGAAAATAGCCATCTTCACCATTAGGGCAATAATTAAGACACTCCCGTCAACTGGAGATGTTATGATATCTGCCTGGAAAAGGACGTGTGTCTACAGTGTCTTAACGCACGATAAGGAGGATAGTTTGAGTGGTTGCTGAAATTAATTGAGTCTTGGGGTCAGAAAGCTTAAAAAAAAATCAAACATCACCACAAATTGTTTATGAGGGTTTCTATGGCCAGATGAAGTTGAAAAAATTAGCTTTTGGCAGACACAAGATTTAAACAGATACACAGGGATAAAAAGAACCCAATGCCCATGGTTAAATACACTGCTGGATCATTAATGTTGTGGGACTGACTATTCTTCTGCCAGAGATTCTTGTTCAGATACACAGCATCGTGAATTCTATCAAATACCAACAGATAATTCAAAACCTGACTGCCTCTGCTATGAATCACATAATGGTGGTTGAGTCTTCCATCAGGACAATGATCTAAAACAAACAACAAAATCAACACTGTCTGGAGAGATTTGTATGGAAGAAAGGTCTCTGATCTCTTGACAGGTGTTCTCCAACCTCATCAGTCATTATAGCAGAAGATTCAGAGCTGAAATGAAGGTTGCAAAAAGTACTGAATAAAAAGGGGCCAATAACATGTATTGAAGAAAAAACATTTATATCATAATGCAATTTTACCCCCACTTTAAATTGTTCTACTTCAATTAATGGTTAGATTTTTGTAGATTTTATTTTCACACCCTTCTTTGCTCATATTTACCAAAGGGGCTAATAATTCTGATCATAACTGTACATATTTCATAACCAAATCAAGTAGTGTATGGTGTGAACATGCCAAAGGAACATGTAATTTTCAAATTGAGGAACCTTAAAGACAAAATTGGTCTGTCTGTTGTTGAGTCAAGACGTCTGTAGATGAATATGAGGCTTTGAGAGAAAAGCAAGTATTTTGGATGCTAAAAGAAAAGGGGAGCTCAGTTAGAGCTATAGCAAAAACATATATTCAACAGTTTGGAATGTCCTGAAAAAGAAAGAAACCACTGATGACTGGTGATGGTCTACTGTTCACACGGCAAGATGCAAACCTCAGATCAGCACCAAAAGTAGAAGGGCCAGATTAGAAATGGCAAAAAAAGCACAAAGGTGATCCAGTTAAGTTTTTGGAACAGTTTTATGAACATATGAGACAAAGATCCTTTATCAAAGTAACAAAAGTTTGGGAAAAAAGGAACTGCAAATGATCCAAAGCAACCTCATCCGTAATAGGGGAAAGCATAGTGGAGGTAGTGTCATAGTATGGCCATGCAGGGTCACTCATCTTTATTGATGATTTAACGGATGATGGCAGCAGCAGCATGAATGCAGAAGTGTACAAAAGCATCTTGGCTACCAATGTTCAAAATCCCAGCAGACTCATTGGGAAGTGCTTCAAATTGCAACAGGACAGTGACCCAAAACACACTGCCAATTCAGTCAAGGAGTTTATCAGGGCAAAGAAATGGATGGCCTTAGATTGGCCAAGTCAATCTCCAGATTTAAATCCAATCAAACATGCATTTCACCAGTTGAAGAGGAGACTAAAAGCAGAAACTCCCTAAAAAAAGCTACAGTTGAAAACGGGTTTGCAAAGCATTTCTTGGACATTTGATTTAAGGTAAACTGTCCCAATACTTATGTTCATATTAGATTGTGTTTAGTGAATGACACCCACTACTTCAAAGATTCAAGGCCTCTCTCATTTAAATACTAGTGGGAAAAAAATAAATAGAAAATTATATTATAATAAAATAATATTATATAATTATACAGACACCAGAAAAAAAAAATTTAAAAAACGTACAGTAGGCTAATCATGTGATTTCAACATGGAGGCCCACATGAGGCTACCCACTACATGTAAAATAAAACAGCTTTTATAAGCTATTGATATGACCGGAATTAATCACATGTGAGGGTACATAATTTTTAACATTTTTTCAAAATATTGTTTTACAACTAAAATTACTGAGTGCATGTTTAATTGTACAGATGTCTTTTATATTTCTACGAACAAATGAAATAATTTTAAAAAAAACACACGAGACAGAAAGAAGAAGAATAAGTAAAAAGACACCACAAAGTGGAGGTTTAGAGATGTAGAGAGGGTGTGAAAGAGAAGAGCATGTGAAGTAGTAGCCGTGACAGAAGGCAGCAGATCAGGGTGAGGCTACAGCCAGTCTCCCTGCAGAGCTCTCTAATTGGCTGAGGGGATATTTCTTTCTCTCCTGATTCTGCAAGTGCCTGTCCTGAACTCACATCGATTAGCTTCTTCTTAGAACAGACTGCTGTACACCAAACAGCCCAAATCAATTATTTATGCCTGATATTGAATTTTTTTATGTATCTTCATGTGATCCAGATACTTTGCAGACAAACGCAGGGGTCTCTATTCTCACAGAAAAGGCTTTTGAAAGTAAAAACTAGGGATGCACCGACACCGACACCGATACTGGTATCGGTATCGGGCCCGATACTGAGCTCCTGTACTCGTACTCGTTAAAATGCCC